CACAGGGTAGAACTGTCAAATCTTAGTGCTGCCATCCATCACTCAGGGAACTTTCTCGAACGGTGCTGCTGTCCCCGCTCTCCACACTCCTTCTGGGCTCTGGGTGCCTTGCAGGTTCCTAGGCTTCCTCACCCGGGTCAAAAGAATTCCTGCACCCAGGGCAGCTGCCTAGGAGTCATGGCTCAAGTTTTACAGCTCTTTCTACAGTTAAGAGCTTCTCAGATAGAACCAGGCAGGCCACGAGGAAATAAAACCACCATAGAGTCTGCTCTTGTTGACATGGCAACCTGACTACCAGCTGACAGGCAGGTCTGGCAGGCTGCACACGGAGGAGATTTTTGCCACCTGTACCTGGTTAACAGTTCCCAGCCGCACCGGGAGCTAAGCACAGGTGGGTTTGTAATAGGACTAAATTACAGAGGCTTCTTTGGCATCCCAACCAATCTAGGCAAGCCTCTATTTGCAGATGGGCTTAAGGTGGTTTTACTCCCTGGCTCTACAGCTCTGCTTACCTCAAGGTGGTCTGTGGCATCTGCTTGCAGACTTTTTGTCTTCAGTTTTCCAGCTGATTGGCTTTCCAAAGCCTCCCAAGCATGCACTTGCATCCTCCTCTTCCTCCTTCTTCCTTCTACTTCCTCCTCCTCCTCTTCTTCCTCCTTCTTTCTCCTCCTTCTTCTTCCTCCTCCTTCTTCTTTCCTAAACCTTCATTGTCTGGTACCTAGAGGTGGTAGTTTGCTCAAAACCCCATATCCTGGGACTCTCCTAGGTCCTTACCAGTCTGGGATAGGAAGTGGTCATGCTCTGAGGATTTGTTAAACCAGTGACTGAATGGAAGCCCTTTGTCCTTCATGTGAGGTCTCTCTGAGGTCAAACATAGAGCACAGGTTGTTTAGCTCCTGTAAGTGTGCCTAGTGGAGACCACGGTCTATGGCTTGTGCACTGGGATGTTTGTTAAAAAGTTAAACAAAGAATGTTCAGAGACATGTGAACATTTTTATAAAAGTTGGATTTTAGAGCCCATAAATACGAGTCACTGGGACACAGCCACAGTCACTTTGTGCATTGTCTGCTTTTACAGCCTGTGGACTCAGTTGGAGGGTAAGAGGTCCAGGACCATAGCACATAGCAGCAAAATCCCAAGTGGACTCAGGGTACCAGCTCTCTGCCTTAGAATGTTTTTGGTCTCATCTGAGCCCAGAACTTCTCTGAGGGACAAGAGACTACTGTTAGCTGTGTAACCATGGTGCTGGGGATGCAGAATCTGTCTTCTGGATATCTTAAAATTCTCCTTAAAAGGACTCAGAAAGGTAGGAGAACAATGGTAGTTAAGATCTTTCCAGCCTGGTGGGGATAAGGCTTAGATTTGTATACACGCAGTGCTTCATGGAAGCAAGTGCACAGCAGTTCCAGATGCATCAGGTCTCTGAAGGTTCTGTGCTTATGGTAAGCACACATATACTACAGGAAGTGCTGTGCCAACTGTGAGAGCCACCAGCCAGGGGGTTTACTTCTCTCACAGCCTATAGCTGACTTCTTCATCACCGCTGGGAGCCTCCACAAACCTGGCCCCTAAATAAATACTTAATGCTTGGAGCAGGCAAAGCTTTCCTTCTCTCTCTTGGCCTTTTGGCGCTTGTTATAGGCTTGTGTAGATGTTTGTCACTAAACCTGAACATTAACAGTCAAACGAAAACATTTTCTCCAGTTAAAAGATTCAGATAGCACGTTAGTCAGTGTCCAGATTTTAATGAAGCTTCTAAAATTAAAGCTCCGTCAAAAATTCTTAGAGCAACTGTGGACCTGGTAGCGTCTAATTCATGAGTCCTCACAGCCGTGCTATAAGGGAAATCACTGGGCAGATGGGCGAAGTGAATTCCAAGATGTCAAGAAACTGACTCAAGACATGGAACTACTGTGCTCTCCTCCTCAGTCTTCTGAGGCCCTAGCAGGATTCAAGAGCCCGGAAAACATATTTTTCATTGTAATGAGTCGGAATTGTGGACAGTCAGAGTTCACCAAGGTCAGATGAAAGTGGAGTAAGATGAGCTGCTCGACCATGATGCAAAGGAACAGTAAGCGAGGGTGGCAGGAGAAGAATAAACTGTCCCCTGACAGTTCACTGTGGTGGTTTCAGTTCCTGTCATACAACTGAGGAGAGCTATGACTGGTCAGACATGGGCTGGGACTGCGGCATTGGCACTGTGGTACAAGGCTATGGTTAATTTTGTTTGGTCAAGCTCAGTCATAACTGCTGCTAACCACCCCCTCCTCGCAACTTCAGGTTGACTTGACACCCCTGATAGTTGGATGCGCCTAACAACCTTCTTCAGATGGTCTTTGTTTTTTAATGCTTTTGTTAAGGACCTTAATGGATGGTCTTTCACTGTGGACAGTCCTGGACAGGAACCTGTTCCTGGGTCTCTTGAACATGGTCTTCTCTCTGCAGCCACTCCCACAGAACAACTAACTTAGTCTGAGGAGGTTAGCTGGAGGTCTCTTCTGTTGTAGCTTGTTTAAGCAGGGGAGGGGTAAAACATCAGCCCAGCTATCCGGTATTATTCTGAAGGTAGATACTTGGATTTTCACAGTCTTGTTTAAATTATCCTGGCTGGCTATATCTGTAGCAGCCCAGGGTGAGTCCTTAAGCAGCATGGGAGTAGCCATCACTTGACCATCCAAGATGGAGGTTGGTGATGCATGGAGAGCCCAGCAGTATCATCAAGGAGACAGCCAAGAGCATCCCAGCATCCCAGCACGGGCATATCAGTAGCCATGTATTACATGTGTTACTTATTAGATTCTTGTTTCTCCCTTTGTTCTTAGTAGTCTGGTTTTGCTTGGTTTTGTATAGCGAAGGCTGTATTTTATCCCTTGTACTAAGTTCACTTTCTTTCACAGAAGGACTTCAGGGTTCTTTGTCTAGCCTTTAAGTTTTTGTGCAAAGAGGTATAGCTGGTAAAAGTGGGCTTCCGGGACGGTGAAAGTCTTTGGAATTCTCTGGGTCCAGTTGCTATATTTATATATGCATATCCTTGGCCAAACTGGAGTAAAAGAGGGCAGGATGTTCAGTGGGGCCCAGGGTTCTCTCTCTCAGTTTGATGTCATTAGCAGGTTTTATTTTTGTTTTTTATTCTATTAAACATTAAAACATGTAATTATGCTGTGCCATACACAAATTTCTATATTTATTGTATTATATTTATTTATGTATTGTTGTGGGAGCAGCATCTTCCCCAAGAGAATCACTGAACAGATGAACAAATGCAGGTTTTTTTCCTTAAGGGTACAACAAGTAATAAAAATACTGTGCTTATCCTACCGTTAGGTCAAAGGTGATGGCAAGGACTTGTGCTTTATGATGGGTTGGATTAAAAGCGATGTTTGGCTTCTGTCTGGGTGTGGCTAGAAGGGAAGGAGAAAACTGCACTTTGAGAGTGTCCGGATCTCCACTGGCCCCTCATCTGGGCCTCTTTAGGCAGAAGGAGGTATTTGTTTTTTAGAAGCGATTGCTGAGTAGTGTGATCGGGATCAGTGGTGGTTAGGCTCCAGGAGAGCTGGGTCCTTTGAAGGAAAGGTTAACAGAAAGGCCACGTCGCCTCTCCTGGAGAGTCTAGGGAGACATTCAGGTTCCACTAGAGAATAGCCATCCCTGGAAATGGTCAAATGTCTCTGATTCCCAGTGGAGACCTCGGAGGGTCCCAAGGCTATAAGGGGCCAGAGCACTCATCTTTAAGGGTAGTGATGAACATGCACCAGAGGACAGAGAACAAACTGTCACCCTAACCAGGTACCATTGATTCGGAGCCTGTCTGAGCTCAGAGTTGAAGCTCCCCACTCCCTATCAGGGCCACCCAATGTGGTGGGTCGGAGTCACGAGCAGTGGAAAAATTCACCCAAGGCAGAACAGAGTCGATATGAGATACAGCAAGGGAGCCTCGGCGGGACAGTAACAGGACTGCCATCCCTGAATTCTGCCATGGTTTTTCTTTGGATTCTACATTCTTCTTGGCTTTGGTTCCCCCATGCAGATGAGAGCAGTTCTGATTGCTCAGTGTTTGAGCCTGGGCTGGGGCTGAGTATACGTGCAGCAATTCTGAGGTCCAAGATCATGGTTAAATTTGATTGGCTGCGCTCAACCTTGTGATTCCCACATGGCTCCTCAGACTAAAGCTAACTTGAAAGTTCTGGACAGCCTAGAAACAGCTCAGTTTGTCCTTTGAACTCCCTGTTTCCAGTGTTGTCAGGGAGAGTTCCTGGGCCAGGTTTGTATTGTGGAAAGTCTCAGATAGAGACCCGTTTGGGTTTTGTTCCTTCAATCTCTGCTTTCTTATAACAGTGTTTTCTAGAAGAATAACAGGTCCCTGGAACTATTATTACCCTCGTCTTTCCTTCCTTCTCTGGGCTGTATTTCTGAATACCAGCAATTACAAGGCTGTGGCAGACCCTTGCTTATATGAAACATTAGTGAGCCTTTCTCTTAGCTCCGTCCCCAGTTATACACAGCTGGAGTGTCCATCCATCATCTCTGAAGGAACACAGATAAATCCTGCTTCATTAATTTCATCAGAGCCTTGGGAAGCTGAGCGAGAGAAATGCATCATTTTGAATAATCAGCTTTCTAACTAGACATTTCCTCACGTATAAGAAAGTACCTGGGTCTCAGGTCCCTGGCTGGCCCTCTAATTTATACACATGAAAGCCTATGTCATGAAGGCTCCACTTGGCAACATTCCCAGCAAGGCAAGGAGGTGTGAGCTGAGGATTGATTTCTAGCCCGCATCCAAGGCCCATTACTGAACTGACTTCAAAATCCAATTAGAAATTATAACGCACCTTAACACATCCACAGTTCTCACTGTGCGCGGGGAGTCGATGAAACGATTTACCTGGGAGGTATTTACATTTATTGTCTCTTGTTTCCATAAGGCTAAATACTTGTAATTGTTATTTAAAGATTCCTTTACTGAGTTCTTACTCTGCGGTTCCCTGTATTGCCATAGAGTTTGGATGAGATGCTGGCTTTCCACGGAGGAGAGAGAAGGTTCTCCAAGACCCTGAAGCAGTGTGGAAGCTGCGTGCTACTTGGTGTCAACACTAGTGGAACAGTAAAGTCTCTGACTTTAAAAAAAAAATACCTACTTTCCCCTCTGCCTATAAAAAATAAATGGCCATTTGAAAAATTTTAATTTGAACATTTAAATACAAAAATAAAATTCTTATAATTCCACCATGTGGTTATTATAACTTCTAATATTTGGCATATTTATAAAATGCACCGTGTGTATGCACACACGTGTGTGTCTGGGCATGCTTAATTATTATCCTGATTCTAGACTGATTTATTTGAGTCTTTTAGCCCCCTCAGGAGACAAAGATTAATATTACCAACATTTTCAAGAGGATGTGGGGTTCCAGACTCATCTAAGCAGTCTAAGAAAAGATTCCTCAGCTCAGATCCCACCATGTCTTTGGGGTTATGTTTCCACGTAAGAAGAGAAACAGAAGGGATGAATTAATTTGTTATGTTGATGATGGTACACATTATACCTTAGTCGTGCTATGTTCTTTCTTTTCTACTTAAAAAAAAAATCTTAGGCACACTTATTTCCCTTTCTATAAATTATTTCAAACATTTTAACTGTGGCAGACCAATTGGTTGCATTTTTGGAAAATAGAATAGTTGTTTCATTTCACATTAGACTCAAAATTAAAACTTCAAGTTGGAGTATAAAGATTTCTCTAATAATAAAAAAAACAGTTAAGAAAATATTGGGCCATTGACTTTATTTCACTGGGGATGGGAGGGATGCCCTTCACCAAGGGATGTGGCTAGCTAACAGTTGCCATGGGAAGGATAGCATCTTCTTCAGTGCTGTAACGACTGTGTTGGTAAAGAAGTTCCCATTCATGCTTATGCAGGCAATGCCAATCAAACCCAGTGACTCACGTACAAAGACATGAAAGTGTGAGGAAGGCTTCTTGGAAGAAAGAAGGGTACCAGTGAAGGGGGCGTAGGGAGGACAGGTAAGTGGGCATGAAAGGGACTAAAATTTACTCTACGCAAGTACAAGATTATGAATCATTTTAAAAAGGAAACACATGGTAGCCATTCCCACTGGAGCAAACGGCTGTCCTCCTGGCCCTACACGGCCAGACATGACCATCAGCCACCGTGAAGCAGAGATGACTTTGACCCTATAGACTTGGCAATGAAATACGCAACACAATTAAGTGATGCTTAAGTTTGTGGTGATGGAAAGGGGGGTCCAGGTGTTGGAAGACGCTAGAGTACATAGGAGAGAGAAGGTCAACTGAAAGCAGGACCCCTTGTTGCAACTTCCCTGAGGTATTACCAGTGATGTGGTGGGGTTTCTTCCAGCGACGCCACTCTTGTTGAGCCACCCATCTTCCTGCACCTGTCAATTCATATACGCTCTCATCAGTTCATCAAGCTGTGATTAGAAGGGATCCTTTCTTTGGTCCATCATTAGGACCCTGTCTGACATGAACAAATATGAAAAAACACCCCCTCCCCCCCCGAGTTTGAGTCCCGTTCTAGCTATTTACAGCTCTGTCATCTGGGAGAATTACTTAACCCCTTGGAGACTTAATGAAATGGACCGTGGGGCTGGAGTTCTGACGCAGGCAGCATCTTGTACATGGTTGGTGAGTCACTTAGCGACATTGCTAGCTAGCAGAGGTAATTTAGGAGCTGAGGATTGTTAAAGGGTTAAATGGAAGGATTCCCACAGGCATATATAGCAAATGCTAAAAAAAAATTAACTGTTGTTAGATATGAGGAAATAGAAAAACATTTCAACACATGCAACACCAAACCCCAATTCTAAGCAGCTCGTCTGTTTGTACACGTGTATCTCTACCCTCAGCCTTGTCTTTCTAGAGAAGTTGATTCTAATTTGGCATCTAATGAGGAACTGCTTATATTTTTACACTTGGTTTGGGGTAAATTAAACCAACTTTAAATTGAGTTCAGAGATGAAAATGTCTTCCATCCTCTCGGCTTCTTTTCTCTTCGTTATTCAATCACTAACAAGAGGTTTGGAGCATGGGCCTGCATACTTGAAGAGGCAGAAATCTGATTTCCATAGCTGGGTTTCAGTCTCAGAGGAGAAGGGCTGGAGTAATTGCTAAGCAGAAACGGTGAGCAAATCCTCTTCAAGAGGCCATGCTGGATGCAGCTTAAGCCACCTACCCGGATGGAGCCAGAACTGGAGAGTCAGTGGGGAATTCGCCAAACGCTCTCAATTGCAAATCTACACGCAAACCTTGTTGTGTGCTCAGGTTGTTGGGGTCTGAAGGACAGCACCAGACCACAACCTTTAATTAGAAGGTGTGAGAAGGGAAAGGGGCTCCCTCACCCTGATTGAAGACCCTGCTAACAGAATTCCAGCACAACTACCAGCTGTTCAACGCCTTTCTTTCTTTCAAGCTATAAACCTGCAATTTTCTTTTTTCTATTTTTTTCATACCAATCCCAGTTCCTCCTCCCTCCCTCCTTTCTTCCTAGTCTTCCCATCACCCCAAGTCCCATCTGCTCCTCAGAGAGGTTAAGGTCTCCTCTGGGAAGTCAACCATGATTGTCTTGTCCCCTCATTGAGGCAGGGCCAAGGTCCCCCCTCCATGCTTAGACTGAGCAGGGTATCTCTCCATAGAGAATGGGCTCTATAGAGTCAGTTCATGCATTAGAGTTAGAATCTGCCAGTGTCCCTCTGCACCGCTGAAGTAACACCATTGTCATCTGCACTCAGGGGACTAGTTCAGTCCTATGCAGGTTCCCCAGTTGTCAGTCAGGAGTCAGTTATCTCCCTGAGTTTGGGTCAGCTGATTCTGTGGGTTTCCCATCATGCTCTTGACCCCTTTGTTCATATTACCGCTTGTCCCTCTCTTTACCTAGAGCTCAGCCAGTGGGTAGTTGTGGACCTCTGTATTGCTCAATTCTGATTGTGGAAGAGGGTTCTAGCTTCTCTGGGGTTATGGACTGTTGGCTCGTTATCCTTTGCTTTATGTCTGGTATCCACTTATGATTGAGTACATATTATCCTTGTCTTTCTGGATCTGGGTTGCCTCACTCAGGATGGTTTTTCCTAGTTCCATCCATTTGCTTGCAAATATAAAGATGTCATTGTCTTACCGCTGAATAGTATGCCATTGTGTAAATGGACCACATCTTCTTTATCCATTCTCAGGTTGAGGAGCATCTGGGTTGATTCCAGGTTCTAGCTATTATAAATAATGCTGCTATGAGCATAATTGAGCAACTGTTCTTGTGGTGTGAGTGTGCCTCTTTTGGATATGTTCCCCAAAGTGATAAACCTGTAATTTTCTAGGAATCTCATCACAAGCTACATTTACAGGAAAAAGACACGTACCTATTGTGTGGCCTTTGTGGCTCCTGGCTTCAGTCTATAAGATCACAATTGTTTCCACGGCATCTCTAAAAGCCAGCACATATATCAAAAACAGAAGATGAGAAAAGAGAGAGGGTTCCTTAGCAATCTTTAAAGTTGTTTTTTTAATTTGTTCTTTTTTATTTTTTAAAAATGTGTATGGGTATTTTGCCTGCAAGTTCATTTCTGAACATGTGTGTATGCAGTGCCTGTGATGGCCCGAAGAGGGCACTGGACATCCTAGAGCTAGAGTTACAGTCAATAGCTGCCTTGTGGATGCTGGAATCTAACCTAGGTCCTCTAGAAGAGCAGTTGGAAAAGCAGTCAGTGCTCTTAACTGGTCAGTCATTTCTATGGCAATCTGTTTTATTGTTTGCTTGTTTGTTTTTGAGACTTTGAGACAAAGTTTCTCTGTGTAGCTTTGGAACTTGTCCTGGAACTAGCTCTTGTAGACTAGGCTGGCCTAGAACTCACAGAGATCCGCCTGCCTCTACCTCCTGAGTGCTGAGATTAAAGGCGTGTGCCACCACCGACCAGTTCAACAATCTTTTTTTTTTATTTGTTCCCTGAAAATTTCATATATACCATTATATATACATATATGTATATATATATATATATATATATATATAGTCATATACACCCTATATTTCCTCTGCCCAAGTCCCCCTAGGACATCCTCCAACAAACTTCCCTCACAACTTCATGCCCTTATCTATTGGTTTGAGGTCCCTTAACAAATAGGGAGCCTCCTCAGTCTGCTGAGTGTGATAACAAGAATCCATGTCTTTGACCCCTTACCATCAACAGATGAATAATGCATTTGGCCCTGAAAAATTCTATAGCAACCATCCTGGCAAATTGAAGTGTACATTCCCAGGTTTGGAGGTGGAATACCTCATACTCTGGGATGCTTAAGGACAACAAGCATCTCTTCATATGCTTATGATCTATCGGTATGTCTTGCTTGGTCAAATATTCCATTTTCTAATTAGAAACTTGTGGTATTACTACCCACTCTTTGGGGGTTCTTCACCTATTCCAAATACAACTTCTAGGTCAGGCTGTGTTGGGCACGCTCCATAGCTAGCAGTGCTATTTTTCTATTGCTACTTTTCAAAGAGCAAAACTGTTAAATTTTGGGAGACTTCAATTTATTAATTTTGAAAAATACACCTTTGAGAAACACGGTGTGAAGTACAGGCTCTCTCCAACAATCTGCAGGTAGTCTAACGAGTGCTTTAATTTGAACACGTCCCCAGAGAGTTCAGATGTTGGGAAGTTAATGATATTTTGAGGTAGGGCTATGAAGAGGCAATTAGAGCTAAATGAAGTCTTGAGAGTGGGGAAAAGAGGGAGAATTTGAGGTAGCATGCTGGCTTTGCCCTTCCAATGGTGGCCTCTGCCTTGTTCCGAGGAGATGAGGTCAATACCAAGCAGATGTTTACCCCATGCTTAGATTTGCCAGTTCAGGACTGGGTGCAGAATAATTATCCATCCCTCATAAATTATCCAGTCTCAGGTATTCAGTTCCCACAACAGAAAATGGACAGAGATGTGGAGTACTTGAAGAAGCAGAAATCCATTAAGAATGAAGCAACATATGGGTAATACAAAAATGCTAAATATTAAAGTAAAAACAGTCATCCATTTTTTCTCTTTTCCATTTTAACCAGATAAGGAAACTAAGGTGCAAAGTAAGAGAGTAAGTGATTTGCTCAGTTTGGTGATTTGAATAAGAATACCCCATAGGCTCATTTGAATGCTTAGTCACTAAGGGATGTTTGTCACTATTTGAAAGGATTAGAAGGTGTGGTCTTGGAAGAGGTGTGTCACTGGGGGTGGGCAATGAGGTTTCAAAAGCCCATGCCACGCCCAATGTCTCCCTCTCTGCCTGTGATCTGATGTAGAACTCTCAGCTACTTCTCCAGCACCATGTCTGTCTGTCCGCTTCCATGCTTCCTGCCATAATGACAATGACCGAAACCTTTGAAGCTGTAATCTAGCCCATAAATAAATGTCCTCCTATGTCAGAGCTGTTGTCACGGTGTCTCTTCACAGCAATAGAACAGTTACTAACGCACTCAGTGAGTTACTTACTTTAATTTTTTTAAATTGTTTTTATTGAGCTATACATTTTTCTTTGCTCCTGTCCCTTCCTCCCCTTTCCACTTCTACCCTCTCCTGTGATTTCCATGCTCCTAATTTACTCAGGAGATCTTATCTTTTTCTCCTTCCTATGTAGATCCATATATGTCTCTCTTAGGGTCCTCT